CCGAGGGACACCAATTGCCCGTGGGTATTAACACCTGATTATTCCCTTGATACATAAATAACTATTATTCGGGAAATAAAAAATGTGTACAAAAGGCAGTACACACACACATTATATGGCAGGAATGGCGAAATTTACGTAAAGTTATTCTTATTTTATTAATTGCATGAGACAAAATACGAAACGCCATAATTTTGGTTTTTGTAATTCACGATGATTCATGAAAATTACATCCATGTTATAAGGTGTGTTTTTTTTGGCCATTTCACTAGAATGTTTTACACTGGCAAACTGTCATAGGAACGACCTGTTTCCTACTGCCAAAACTCCTACTTACTCCTACCTGGACAAAACCAACATGATGGTTTTTCAGCGATTGACAAAATCCATCCTCACGGGGCGTGATTTTGTCAAAAATTCATTCGCGTTGTGAAGCAACAAAATTTCATATCAATCGGAAATTTTGCCGACTAAATTTTTTCTCTAATGGTCTTATACAGGGTGTTTGGCACATGAGTAAACATACGTAAATCTGAGATAGGTGGGGCCGTCAGTTATGCGGTCTACCCAGATATTTTGACCTGGGCCGTTTAATTTTTTTTTTTTTTTTCCAAAATTTTGAATGTGCAGATTTTAAACTGAAATAACTTTTAGATTAGAATAAAATAGAAATGTTGTCAGTTTCATGATTTTTCAAAAAGTTATTTCAGTTTAAAATTTGCAAATTGAAAATTTTGGAAAAAAAAAGAAAAATTTAGGGCCCAGGACAAAATATCTAGGTGGACCGCATAGCAGACGGCCCCACCTATTTCAGATTACCGTATGTCTACTCATGTGGCGAACACCCTGTATAACGGGTCTTCAAAAAAAAAAATATCGAATAGTGCTTTGATTATGAAAACCTACGTCGCATTATTGTTTCCTTATTGGTAAGGATTTTTGACATTAAAGTTCCTTGACAAACTTGAAGAAAAATATTGCTAAGACATACGTTCAAACAACCGTTAAGGAATTTTTGATTGGTTTATTTTTGAAGATCCGTTATAATAAAATATTTTGTCGTGCCGCCCGCCACACGCCACTATTTTGAAGGATTTTGAAGGGTTTTTGTCACTCGGTGGAAGGAAAGTTGTCCAAAAAGTCTACAAACACTGCTTCGAACTCTGTTTATGAATTATTTGTGCGCCCCTGGAATGTCGGCATGGTCCACTTCTTTTTGTTTTGTAAATATGAGTATTCCACCTGATATAGGTATTTTTATACTTTGCGAACTTTGAAACCGGACAGGCATAGAAAACAACAGGTTTGATCAGGCAGGCAGTCACTAATGTTTTTCAAATGCCTCTTACTGTGATATATTTCATTTTCACTCGAAACGCGATGAGTCGAATTTTGAAAAAAAAATTAATCGATTTTTAATTGGCAGGTGCCATTTGGCAACCGATTTAGGTAGACAGGCATTCGGAATCATACTTGGGGGTGTTTGTTCTATGTTCACACAAATTTTCATGCAAAACGCGATGAGTCGGTTTTTGACATTACAAAACCTCGTTAAACATTTTTTTATCAATAAACTCAACCGATACGAGCAGGCAGGCACGCGATTCCGTATTACTCATGATTCATTCTACATTTCCTAAATTTTTCAGCCATAATAAAATCAGCCGGATTTTTTTTCACTGGCTCTTGTACTATAATATAGGTAGACACTAAATTACAAAAAAATTGAACAAAAACTTATTGCTTGCTTATTGTAAGTATAATGAATGATTTATAGACCGTCAGATAGTGACAGATTTAGGTGCCCCATTTTCGCATACAAGCCTCGGAGAGGATTGAAAAGTACTTCGATGTTGAGTAGAATGAAGTGAAATTCACGAGTCGCCTCTGGGGATAAAATATGGAAAATTCGATTTTCCTTAACCGAAATAAAAGGTGTCTGTTGCCCATATTTCCATGCAAGCCATGTTCACTAAATGATTAATTATTAAAAACTTAGCTTCGGAAAACCAAAGGCTTGAGTGCTGCAGGTGGCTAAAGGGTTGAAAAAAGGGCTTTATATAGTAAGAAAAAATCGAAAGTTGGACCGATTTTTGCACACAAGCAGCCTATTGGAAGTATGAAAACATCCACCGTCACTATCTCGAAAAACATATTGGCTTGAGTAGTGGGAATGGATAAGTACATTTTAAGGTCGTAAAATTTAACCAATTTTTTTTAGTTCGCGTAATATCGGTCAAATTTTCCAACTTTAAAATGTACTTATCCATTCCCGCCACTCAAGCCAATATGTTTTTCGGGGTAGTGACGATGAACGTTTTCATACTTCCGATCGACTCGTGTGCAAAAATCAGTCGAAATTTCGATTTTTTCTTACAAGATAAAGCCCTTTTTTCAACCCTTCAGCCACCTGCAGCACTCAAGTCTTTGGTTTTCCGAAGCTAGGTTTTTAATAATTAATCATTTAGTGAACACGGCTTGCATGGAAATATGAGCAACTGACACCTTTTATTTCGGTTAAGGAAAATCGAATTTTCCATATTTTATCCCCAGAGGCCACTCGTGAATTTCACTTCATTCTACTCAACATCGAAGTACTTTTCAACCCTCTACGAGGCTTGTATGCGAAAATGGGGCACCTAAATCTGTCTGTGTCTATTAGCCGAGAGAGCATATTATTCGTATCACCATGTAGAATATTATCTATCAGGTGTGCGCTCTCATAGTCGCGTCATAATTATTTCCATGTTTGTTCGGAGCGAAATAATCAACAACAGCTTTTACCTGTTGTTGCTTGAAGTCACAAAATTGGGAACAAGATCGTTGTGGGCTGAGATATCCAAAAAATCTCAAAAATATTCCGAGTTACCAAGGTAGGTAGGTACTCTTCCAAACTACACACCAACAATCTATGTAATTGTCCTTTTCTCGCTTCAAGTAAAAAAGGCAGAGGTTCACACAAATATTCTGGAAAAATACACCATACAAATGTTTGACCCTGTTTCTCCTGTCTTCAAGCAGGTGGATGCCAAACTTCTTCCAACTATTAGAAATTTGAACCCTCGCTTTTACCTTTATACCGTATACATTTGAGATAACTCCAAAATCAGGCAACTGTGGTTTTTGATTTACAGTCTTGCAAAAAATATTGGGGTGTTCGAGATCAGATGATGCATAGTTTATCCTACACTGTGGGCCAAATTAAGTTGGAACATAATTTGACCATTAATAATTTTTTTGCCTGTTTATGGATTTCAATGATTTTTGGATATGATATTGGTCAATATGTTTTTGTTATCACCTTAAAATTAACTAGACCAATTCTGGTCAGGACCGGACTTCCGACGATTTCATTAAACCAGTGCATTTAAGCTCGTTGCACAAACGAACTGCACTAACAAACCAACAATTTTTTTTTTGCAAGAAGGACATTGATGGGAAAACCAGTCCTGAAATCAACAATATTTTATACCCAAAACCACAGAAATGAATGTTTTTTTTATTGAACGGTGCTTGTCTCCCTTGTCGGCATTAACTAATAAATACTCAATCAGTATTGGAATTGTTTTGTGAATAGACATTTTTCATTCTTTCATCTTTAAAACAAAATACTCAGATAAATGTTTATTATGAAATTAAATAACACTAAGAATTATAAAACAAGACAATTGGTAACTGTAAACAATAACAAACAAAGAAAGTCCAACATTTTTTATAGAAATTGATTATGGATGAAGCCCCCTTCATTATCGACTACGGTCTGTAAGCGTCTTCTCCATTGGTTAATAGAATTGTTTATAATGCGTTGACTAAATCTCTCCCAGCAATGGATGATCCGATTTTTTAATTCTTCGATTGTTGTAATATTGTGATTCGCATAAATCATGGACTCCAGAATTCCCCATATGCAGTAATCAACGGGGTTTAAGTCGGGGCTGTTAGGCGGCCACAAATCTGGCTCGATAATTTCCGGGCAATTTTCTTGTAAAAATCTTATTGTGCTGCGAGAAGTATGAGAAGGGGCACCGTCTTGTTGAAAGCAGTAATTAGCAGTTATATTTTCAATTTCGTGAAGCAAATTTGCAAGCACATGCTGTTGGTAGACTTCTGAATTTATCTTAACATTTTTAGCAATAAATATAACACTTGTTTTTCCTGGAACTTATCACATCTGGTGGATTAATATTTTCGACAATTTGCCGAACCCTTAAAATATTTTCTTGACAACGTCCACTTCTTTTTCTACCACGACCCACCCTAATTTGAATTGTTTCATTTTCGCGATAATGTTTTAAAAAATAGCTTACGGTACTTAACTCCAGTTTGTTTCTGGAAACATTTTAAGAATTTTCCGTGCACCCATATTCTTTTCCATCAACCCTTTAATTAAAATTTTATCTTCCAACGATAGGACCATGTTTACTCATTTTAAATTAAACAGATTACTAAAATGTCAAAAATATGACAATGTGTTATCTCCAAAGCAATCTGGATTAAATAAAGTATTATAAAATTTCCTATTTGAATTGTTAGTTAAAAAATTATAGTTCCTCAGGTTTTGGTTCTAAAATATCGATATTTTCAGGATTTGTTTTCCCATAGGTAAATCTACTTCTAAAAAAAAAAACAAAATTGGTCTGTAAGTAGCGCAGTTCGTTTTTGCAACGAACTTGAATGCACCGATTTAATGAAATCGTCTTAAGTCTGGTCCTGACCAGAATTGGTCTAATTAATTTTAAGGTGACAACAAAAACATATTAACTAATATCATATCCAAAATCATTAAAATCCACAAACAGACAAAAAAGTTATTACTGGTCAAATTATGTTCTAACTTAATTTGGCCCACAGTGTATACACCTTTTAAACCACTCTCTTACTTCTATGCATCAAGGTATACCAGAGTTAACACCTATAGCATCAAAGTATGTGTCTTTTCAATTTATTTACAAAACGCGAAATAGGGGTTGACATGGATTAGAATAGTAACACTATTTTCGAATGTAGGAACTGGAAAATATATTTTGTTTTATAAAATATAGAATAACATATACTCATGTAGTTAGGTACACTAAATAATAAATTAAGTTACATACAATATATGGCAAAAAGGATAGAACTGGACTGTAATAACTATATAGGTACCTAATAATATCTGTAGGTAAACTGGTATAAAAAAAAGTACAATATAGATAGGTAGGTACTATGATACTATACAAGAGTCAAGAAGGCAATATTTCAAATGTTCTTTTTTTCCGTCTAGTATAAAAATAATATTTTAATTCACATTTAATTATTTATTAACATTGTCCAACCATTTAATACTTTAATAGCACGTCTATTTTTGTTCCTTATATACAGTTATAAAAATAGAAAAATATTAATCAATAAGAAAAGTTACGAACGAAAGCATGATAAATTGAAACATCACAAGTAAAACATGTCTCTATGTTGGGAATTCGATGGACGAATCAGCTTTAAGAACAAATAATGGTTCTGGATCATAAGATTTGTGCATACATAAGCCGCATAGGGGCAAACCTGACAAAAAATATATACAAACAGGTATAAAATCATTTATCAATTTACATAAAAGAAGCTTTGTAATTAATACTACTGAAAAATATACTATGTGACAAAAAAAACACTAAAAGTGTATCTTTTTTAACAAATTTTCTACATATGTTAATGGTGTAAAAAATAACAATTACCTATTGATAAAATGTTACTTTATTTTTATATTTATTTTTTTTAAATTAAATTTTACTTTTAATAGCCCAAGCATATTATGTAGAAAATTTGGTTAATAAATATTTATACTTCTATGGGGTGATGCGTTTTTTTTGTCAAACAGTATATATCAAAAATTCTTAATAATTATTCTATTCTCTAACATAAAAAATTAGGCGTTGGTTGTTTGAGATAGTTTCCTGTCTGGAAAAAAAATATTTTACCTAAATAATATTGACTAGATTATCAGATTCGTCAATCGAATAAATAAAAAGTTTGTTTAATTAACTTTTCTGCGCAACCAAGTATAAATGTCTTCTTTATTCTTATTGAGCCAGTTTATGTTCAGTTGGATGATTTCCAAACTTTGTTCTAAAGCTCTTGAGGCCGATTCGACGTTCATACCGTTAAAATACGTTGTGACCTGAAATAAATAGTTCATGTAAGTAATATTTATAGTCTTGGTCTGAAGTGACATCTATATTTGATTACTTACTTCATAATAATCATAAGGGGTAGATAAATATGCAGTAACCGCCGATATGAGACTACCCATCATGGAAGTTGAGTTTCCAAAAAGCGAGTGCATCGTTGGCCAGTAAGCTTTCAAATGTCTCCAAGCTAATAGTTTACCTTCTGGATTAGCTGCAACCACGGCCAATACTATTTTTACATCTTCTGGTTTAATGGTATTTTTATCCAGCGTTTCAATTAGATATCTAAAAGAATTGTAAAGGTTTTCAAATTTCAAATTTAAATAAAAATAACCTACCTTTGCAATAACCAAGGATCACCTCTAGGCTGTCCAAGTGCTTTTAAAAGCAATCTCCTTTCACTTGGTATTTGTGAACTATTATAAGTATTCCAACAAAATTGCCATTCGGTCATTCCACCGAACTTTATGCCAGCAGAATAGACAGCTTCTTTTAAGTTGGGATCAATTGTTTTATTATGAACCATCCATTTTTGAAATATTGATTTGGCTTCGTTTACTGTTTCGTTTAATTCGCATAAAATAGCTGCTGATAATACTTTGGCTCGCAAAAGCCTAAAATAACAATAATTATGTGGTGTAATGATTCAAATATGTCAAGCTCTATTATCTCGAAAAAGCCAAAACTGTTGCAAAAAAAAAAAATTAAGTAACCATTACCTACCGCCTATTTGAAAAAAAAATTAAATAAATAGTTTCAAGAGCCTGCAGCAGAAGTTTGTCGAAAAGGCATCTATTCCGTTATCTGCCTAAGGAGACATTAAGACGATTTTAAAAAAGAACTAATAAATGATCACCTAATTTAAGAACATCCTAACTTGAAAAAAACTTCCTATCGAAAAAGCAACTGAGGTATTCACTTCACTTGAGAATTGAGAAGGTTATTGAAGCAAAAGAGCTTCAAAACTCGTTTATCACCATAAGCTTAAGAAGAAGCTGGACAACCATTCTTCTATTGTCATGGAAGTTAAAATATTTTTTGAGAAGGGCTTTACTTTTTTTTCACTTTTTAAGAAGCTTTTCAAGCCCTATACTTGGCACTTTCTGAACAAATCGTGCATATGAAAATGCTTGCAGTTGAAAAATATTGCATTTAAACACTAAAAAGAGTGAAATTTCTTCGGCACTGAACGAACAATTTATGAATATCATATTCTGTAGAATTCACATTTTAAATTTAAATATTTGCTTTGCTAAGAGTTGCTAAGTAAAATGGTTTCTTTGAAGGGTTTAGTAGGCTCATATAGGCGAGTTAATTTTTGAGTGAAAATCATCAGTCATGCTAAACATTTGGTCAACTTGACTTGTCTCCCCGATTTTTGAGATAAGAACCGCTCTATCATATCAAAAACTTTTATAAAAACGTTTTTAAATGAAGAAGATTCTGACCTGGGGCCCAATTCTCGAATTACGATTTCCCAATGTCGCGTACGAGAATCGCATATCTCAGTATCTTTTGGCATAATCCAATTCTCGAGTGTCACCATCGCCTTTTTTTGATCGACATAATTACGAGTAGGTAAGACCACGCGGGATCAAATCACGAAGTGTCAGTTTTATTTATTTTTGTCTTAAAAATAGCTGATTACGAAGAAATCGAGTTTTAATCAGCTATTGAAAATCTTGCGATTCAAGTAGAAAATAATAGATTTCCTAGGAGATTCTATGAATACAGAAACGCGTTCAATTGTATGTCTGAGTGCCTTTTTGTGAAAACTTTCGATTAACTAAAGAATTAACACAGGACTTAATTGAGTTGGTGCGATCCTATATAAGGCATAGTACTAGAGCTTCTTCAATTTCTATTAAGGCCAATGTAAGCATGTTCACTTTTTAAAGAACTTCGTGTATTCTTTTTTACTGCTTTACCACACATCGTAATTGTAATCGCACAAAATAGGACCTAGAACTTATATTTTTTCACTAAAAATTCCACTTTCATTTGAAAGATCAAAAACTGTGACACTTTACAGTTGTCAAAAAAGTGCCAATACTACAAAATTAGATGTTGCCATGTTTAAACATTCGAAAATCGGTCAAATGCGTCATTCTAATTCGTATATACCGACCGAGAATAGAGTTTAGGATTCGCGTTCGACATTCGGATTTTTAGTCGTAACTGGAGAATTGGGCTCCTGTGTCTAAATATATTGTTCGTATTTAATACAAATAATGTCCTGATGGGTGGGTAGGTATGTACTTACTGTTTTACATGGTCATCCGAATTCTTCCATCCAACATAGTTAGAGATAGGACGCAATAGATTTCTCATATAATTCAAAAATAGTTTATATGGCAGTGATTCTGACATTCTTCTAGCCCAATTCTCAAAATGACCTATTGCAGTGGCCCATGGTACGTAATCTTTTTCTTTTATTAAATAAGTGGATAATTCCAGTGGTATTGTTGCATTCAATAGACCAGCTCTGAAAACAAATGATAACAGTGATTAGAAACATTCCATGGAATAGATAAATCAGGTACAGGGACACTAAGAAGTGGATTTTTATCTTTGATCGTTGTTAAGCCTCTCATACTTGTATTCGAAAAGGAAATTTTATTCCTAGACACTGTTTATATTATATAGTAGGTTTCTACCTGCATAATGTAAACGCATCATCAATAAGATTAGCTCTGTCGGCAGCACTGAAGATGGTATGGTTTGTCTTCAGGATATTGATTAGAGAGTGCCACATTTCTGTTTCGTACATTACCCTGTAGAATCCTGTCTGATTGATGTTTGCTTTTATCCATTTTAAATCTGCTTCGACTTCAAATCTTACTGGAAGTTAAATAAATAATTTAGTTGAATTTATATAAAGGACTACCGTTTCCTACCGTCAGTCATATTCATCCAAATGTTGTTAACTTCACTATCGTTATTTGTGATAAAAGATAAAGGAATATACCATTTGTAATCATACTTGGATTTTGGCAGTAAGCTATCATTTCCAGTTTTTACCGATAGGAGAAATCGTTTTTGAGAAGCTACGATTTCGTTTCCTTCTTTGGTTAATGTCACTAAAGGAAAACCCATTTGGTGAGTCCATGTATCCATAATAGTCTGTAATAGTAATAATTATTATGATAAATTTCAGTTATATACAGCTTATTCGGGAACTTATACTGTAGTAATTTTATCAACCTGACGGCGCATCACGGATAAGACTAAACGAAACTAACCCTTATAAAGGTGATAAAATTATAGCAAAAAGCAAAATCTATACAATTATTTTGTTCAATTACTTACTTTCACATCTAAAGTCTGGTTAGCATTTTTACTAAAAGTATTCCATAAATCCTTGGTTTCAGCTGTTGTATATTTGTATGTAGAAAGATAATCGTTAAGTCCATTTTGTAAAGTATCTTCTTGTAAAAAAGTGCTCAGCATGTGTATAATTGCGGCTGCCTAAAACAAATGAAAATCGAGATTAGTTCAGGCCATAATAACAAAAGTTGTGATTTTTTTTTGCATCGATAGGATATTTTAAAATCATTATATCTTTAACAGTTATTTCTTCAAAATACGGAATATACCTATTTTGATATTCAGAAGAAAGTCTGTGCATTGGAAAAATGTAACTAAAAATATATTGCATCTCAAAAGAGCATTTATAGATTAACCAGCTGAAAATTAACAGTGGAAGTAGTGAATTTATTGAGAAGTAAAATCAATTATAATTTTTCTTAGCACTTTCTCCATTTTCCTCATTCCATGACTATAAGTGAAAGCTTTTAACGAAAATGTTTTTACCTTGCTATAAGAAATAGTATCAAAAATAGTTTTAATTTCGTAGGGGTCGTGTACAGCGACATTTATTGGATGACTACTGACTAACGCATCTAATGTCATGGCAGGCTGAGTTTTATCCAAAATGAATTGATCCATCATCTTCCATTCCAGATAATAATTATTAACACCTAGATATTGTAAATATGTTGTAAATCCTTCATATAACCATATATCTGTCCACCATTTCATTGTTACTAAATTTCCAAACCACTAAAAGAAAAAAGTTATAACAAAAAACCTGAAAAATAGGTACCAGTAAATCATTACCTGATGCACAATCTCATGGGTAATTGTTGTCGTTATCCATTGATCGATGGAAGTAGATGGTTCTTTGGAGCTATAAGAAGTAGTCGTTTCGCGATAAGTGATTAGGCCCCAATTTTCCATTGCGTCTTCCAAGAATCCGGGTATAGAGACCAGATCTAAAACAATCTTTATTAAATTATAGTTTATACATGTGATCGGTAATCTTTTTATTATTTCCATTTTGATCTATTTATTTCCATCTGCTTTTTGGTTGTTAGAGAAATGTAAATATTGGGTGATAGACGGCTAACCAAATTATTATTAGGCAAAGTGGAAACCCAAATGTATCACTTAAAAAATATTTAAGCTTCACACCCGTAAATTAATCTCTGATGTTGATAAAACCTCTAGGCTATTTTTGGCATTGGTAGCTTTGCAATTCAGTTAAATGGAGAAATGCGGACAAATTTAGACAGCATATGTTGATGCAATCATTAAAAAGTTTCAAGGGTAGCTGGTATTTCGATGGAATTCCACTTTTGTCTGTGCAGATTCTGATTTGGTAGGTACGATAATAAGAAAAAAGTTTTCAAACGGTCCAAAACTTACCCATAAAGTAAGTGGTTGTCAAAAGACTAAATAAAGTAATTTGGAAGCATCACATAATAGCCCAGTTTAAAACGATACTATTATTCGTAATCATAACGTATTGTTTCGACCAGAAAATGTTGAGTGTATAAACATAAATAACATGTGGTACTCACCCAACTTTGGCAAAGGATAGGGTATTCCAAAAAAGTCTTCAAAATAGTCCAAGGAACGGCTGGCAATATCTAAAGCGAATCTCGCTTTAGCTTTAAATGGCGGTGGTGTATAAACGGACACTGAAACTCCTCTATCGGTTTGATTTCTTAAATTTGTATAATCACATACAATAAATGCTACTAAGTAGGTACTCATTGGTACGGTTTCTTGAAAATCGTCCCTTAGCTACAAGAAACATTTCTGTATAAGATAAAATACCTAAACTATTTCACATGGATATATTTTAAAAATTGAATCTGGGAAGAAATTATTGTGGGAACTCACCAATCCGGTACCCATGTAAAACCCAAGATCATCTGTATTAACTACTGGTGTATTGAAAAGCGCTATGTGAAATCTATCTCTGAAAATAGTTAATTTAAATTTAGCCTTAAAATGGGGCTCATCAAAACATGGAAAGGCAGTTCGTGCATAAGTCGGTTCAAAATGCGTTGCAGCCAAATATCTAGAAAAAAATGACGCATAAGAAAAAAATCGTTCCAGCCTAAATTAGAACAGAAGTTTCTATCAAACAAAAAAAAAATCAGCACTTCGAACCTGGAAGAAAATCAATTTTATTTTTTGAAGTAATGGAATGGAACGACCGGAAAACGCCCTGCGCATTCAGTACAAAATAAATTCCTATAATGTAGTTAAGTTACGGGCTGCAACAATTTGCTACGGGCGTTTTCCAGAGCTATTAAAAGCCAATTTCCGTCAGGGCACCACTGTAACTAGATTTTCCGAATTGCTTGCACCCCCTCAAAAAAAAAAGCCGGGAATCAATATATTCGGAATTTGGGTCCGGGTCCGCGTGAGGGACAAACGTCACAACGAAATTTCCAGTGTAGCCAGGAAATATGTAATTGTTGTTTTAGAATATGATTTTCTTACAAGTACATACATATTGTATATATGTAAAATTTGTGCCTATACTTACTTTTTTTCACTATCCAGACCAGTATAACTGGATATATAAAACCCTTCTTGTTCTTTATTTAATTTAGTATTAAATCTAATTTTTAATGTATAGTTGTGCTTCTTCTTAAACTTTTCTTTTATTTCCATATAAAGTTGTTGCCCTCTAGTATATTCTAACATTTTGACAATTGTCAAATTATGCCCTCGCCTATCTTGAATTATTTTATCTAATATCGTCATATTATGACTATGTAAAATTATGAAGTTAGTCTCTTTTTCGCAATGGAATTCAATGGATATTTGTCCTTAAATTGGAAAAAATAATATAAAAACTCGAATTTACTAGAAATATTTTGATGTACTCACCCCTGACTTCTAAAGTCGTTATGTTGGGATGGATTGTTAAGTTATATCTAGAAGGTTTCAGGGTGGTAGGAAGACGAACGTTGTTCCAAGGGAAGATTTGTCCATTTGTAGCTCTGGGAATGAAAGTTCTTGTCAGGTTTGACTCTTCGTCCACGTAATTTGGTGGTTTCTCCCCGGCACATGTGCAGTCTGTAAATAAAGCTTTTTACAAACATAATATCAATAAGCTGTTTACATGAAATTTTGGCTTAGAGTAAAATAGTTTTAAGGCATACATTTTTATTCATGGTTTGATACAAAAATATATATACACCTCGTCACAAATAACTTCTACTAAATGTTGACCTTTGACTTTACTCCCTAAGTATGTCTCATTGGATAAATTTCCAGCGAATACCAAGGTTATTCAAAAAATCTGAGTCAAGAAGCTAGGCCCACCTCAAGAACAAATAGGAGTGATTTATTTCAAGGTCGCGAAAGAATCCAAACATTCCAGGTCAATGTCAAGTGCATCAGTTTGGCTGTCACAAATTTTATTGGCCATGCGAGCGGGATCTCATCTCTAGGAAAAGTGATCACAAATTTAGGCTAGCGCAACAACCTTTGTCCTTTCGAATATTTCAAAGGTCAAGTTGGTAAGACTACTCTTACCGAAAAATTACTTACGTCAAATAAAAACGTACCGACCTTTTTCAAGATCAATCTACTGCGCTTGTTAAACGTAGGTACCTACTTAGTACTTGTGTATCTCTAATAATACATAAGTTAGATCCAATACTGTCGCCAAAAGGTATACAATAAAATTTCTGATTTTCTTAAATGTTTCAAAAGTATTGCTTCATTCAATAAAGCAAATAAAAAGTATTTATCTACGACTATTTGTGATAGTAACCACATAATGTAACTCATATTACACACCTGTGGAATATGATTCTCATATTCCACACCCGTGGAATTAGGTACATTTTTATACGTATTCCATAACATGACAGTATTGACACCGTTCCAGAATAGAATCGAGCTTGTTTGGATTGTTGTTACTAGGGCAACTAAAATATTTGATTTTGACAAAATAAGTATATTAGACGTTTGCAATAATTTTGCAGTTTTCAGTTGCGCTTAATCGCTTAAATTGTGTTTAACGCGTGTTTCTCATGCATTCCGACAATGAAAAGAAAATTCTAGCATTATTTCCCCATCAGAAATCAAGGAAAAATTACAAAATTGTATACAACATCTTTGTAGCCTGGCAACTCTAGAATGGCACCAACTCATTTTCGTGAAATCTGCAAATTACTGCGAATAGTCGTAGATAAAGCATAGTATTTGACTCGCGTATAATGGCTATATTACACTCGCCTGCGGCTCGTGTGATATAGCCAACATTATACGCTCGTTAAATAACATACTATTTTCTACTGACGTTTCATAATAGCAACTTTTCGATTGTCGACATTCTTTTAGGCGTACAGTGCCAGGGGCGCCCGCGTTTTAGAAAACCCCGTGGGTGCTGATGCTCATGCATCGGTAAAAATTTCCGGGTGCCACGCCCAAAAACGTTTATATAAGCTATGCTCCGAAAATAACCAAACGTTAACCATCAACTCTGTTTCAACAGACATGAGAGCAGTTCCAGAACCAATAATTTCCAATTGTCCAAATACTTCTCAATAAATTGAACGTTTATCCTATTTGACAAATGAATTGATCGACTGGAAATAACCGTTCTAAAACGGTTCTCATGTCTGTTGAAACAGAGCTAAAGTTACCGAATCGGTTAACAGCTGGTTACTGAAAATTCCGGTTACTTGGGGAAATTACAGATAAAACCAACAAAACCGAGATCCGATGGCCGGTAACTATTTTGATATTTTGTTAACCAGATTTCAGGGAATCGAGGTTCAAAAGTAATCACTTTTCTAGGAACCAGAACCAGAGTAATTTGATTACTTTTGAGACCGCGAAACCTGAAACCACAACCCTGGCTATATTCGGAACACAGCCTTAGTGTAGCCCCTTGAATAAGATCTGTTTTTTTATTAAAAATAATTATTGACCTTTTCAATTTAAAGCCTCTCTCTCTGTCAGACATCAGAAGAGTATGAAAACAATGGTTGACAGCCGTTGACAATGGTTTGTTGACAAGTGGAAACTGGAAACTATTATTTCCTCGATTTTTTCAAGGTTTTTTCCTAACAATGGCGATTGTGTGTAGTGTGCCTTTTCGTAAAAATAACTCCTATTCACCGGCGGACGTGTCTTTCCATAAGTTTCCATGAAATCCATTGCATCAAATTCAGAGCAATGACATTGACAAGCAAGCAAATGTTGGCGGGAAAATCTACGTTTTCATACTATCGTCCATCCCTTTTAATTGAAAACGTCAATTCCCCAAGTCAAAAATTTAGTAACTATGTTGGCAACACAAGCCTTTTTTACCTGGAAAAATTGAAAGCATTGACAATGGACTCTTTCACTAATTTTTGAAATTGGCATATTTGGATAAAGGAACTAAAAACAGAATTTTCTGTATTTTTACTTTTGAAAAATTCTAAGTCCTTCTTGAAAAAACAGAAAAAAAAGAAATACCTCCAAATAAAAACCCAGAATTTATTTCTATGACGTCGCAGCTCGCAATTTGACCGTGTTGCCACTAATTGTCAACATTGAAAATTTGTAATAGATTTAATTCTGAAATGTTGGCAAAATATTATGAAAAGTAGTTAAATTAATTAGTTATAAATTCAAGATTTTATAACTTTTTTATTGAAATTATTTTTAAAGACAATTTAATACAATTTTTTATGTTTAATTTTATTTTATTTTTTTACGTTGCACTACATTTAGTCACCACCGACAACAGCGCATTCGAACCTTTACCTGCTTTTACTACAGGGTACACAGCCGAGGCGGTCAGCTCGTTGCAACAACGAGCGAAATGAAAAATATTTATGTGACGTCTGCAAATCGGCGCGTTTTCAATCATTTTAAATTTCGCCAATTTCAGCCTGTAAAAAACTTATTTAACCTTGTAGAACATTTTTTTTTGGTATATATGCCTAAAATAGTCCCTCCTTTGGGATTTCATACTTAAATTACGTATTTAAATTTTAGTGAAAGAGCCCATTTTGACAATTTCATATTGTATTATTGTATCGCCAAACCAATTTCATTTTGAATTATATCTTTAATTTTGAGACTGACTTTAACTAGCAAATAAATGAAATCATTATTAAGATTATCAGTTTTTATCTCTATGCTCGTGGGTGGCTTTTAGGCACTAGTGCCTGACAGTGTCATTCATTGTTCAGAAATTAAAAACACACTTAACACAGATTTGAATTTTATTTATTTATTGTATTTATTATGAATTATTACTCATAATTTTTTTTTTTTTTTTCTATTTCTCTTTTTTTACTGTAAACTAGTAGCATTAGTAACCTATGTATTTGGGCTGACTAAGCTTTGTTTTGGTTTCACTCAGAACTAGTTCGGAATTATTCTGCACATGCGCACGTTATAAAAAGCGTTTTCGTTTTTTCAGAATCGTAACCGAACTGTGTTGACAGCGTTTTGGTTTATTTAGAACTATATAAGAACGATTCTGGAATTGTTCTAGGATGGTTCACTCAGTTCTTTTTCTGAAGGAGGAACTGTTTTGTAATTATGTGATAAGCGGCTTGTTTTGGTTTTTTTGGTTCCATATCAGTTCAGAATTAGTATTAGAAGAGTCCTCCATAATTTTTTGTACGCAAGCAGTTCTGCGCAATCCCAGAACCGTTCCAAATTTCGAACCAAAACAAAGCTTGTGACATTAGCTTCGTTTTGGTTTCACTCAGAACTAGTTCGGAATTATTCTGCACATGCGTACGTTATAAAACGCGTTTTCGTTTTTTCAGAATCGTAATCGAACTGTGTTGACAGCGTTTTGGATTAGTTAGAACTATACAGGGTGTATATTTTAAGTGATACCACTATTGCTATATCCGAAACGGTAAGAGCTACAAGGGCGGTTAAATTAGAAAAAAGCTGCCTTTTTTGTTGCCCATTCAAGACTCGTTTACAGTACTGCCAAATTCTCTTTAGTTTATGAAATACAGGGTAATTGCTAAAAAATGCCCAAAAATATTTCATCAATTATTTCGAAAACTATTGATTTTTGAGATAAAATTTAAATTTGAAAGGTTTATAATTTTTTTTGCTCTACAACATGGCATCTTCAAATTTCAAATCCGACGTTTCGTGATCGAGCTAGCATCATCAACTAAATTTTTTTAAATACGGACCTGGATTTTTTATGTCATTTTTAGCAAGCGCCCTTTGTTCCCTTTCTTAAAAGGACATAAAAAATTTAGGTCCGTATTTAAAAAAATTAAGTTGATGATGGTAGCTCGATCACGAAACGTCGGATTTAAAATTTGAATATGCCATGTTGTAGAGTGAAAAAAATTATAAAACTTTCAAATTTAAATTGTGTCTCGAATATCAATAGTTTTCGAAATAATTGATGAAATAATTTTAGGCTCTTTTTAGAAATCACCCTGTATTTCGTAAAGTAAAAGGAATTTGGCAACACTGTAAACAAATCTAGAATGGGCATCAAAAAAGGCAACTTTTTTCTAATTTAACCGACCTTGTAGCTCTTACCATTTCCGATCTAGCAATAGTGGTATCACTTAAAATATACACCCTGTATAAGAACGATTCTGGGATTGTTCTAGAACGGTTCTCTCAGTTCTTGCTCTGAAGAAGGAACTGTTTTGGAATTTTGTGATAAGCGGCTTGTTTTGGTTTTTTTGGTTCCGAATCGGCTCAGACTTATTAGTATTAGAACTAGAACAGTCCTCCATTATTCTTTGTGCGCAAGCAGTTCTGCGCAATCCCAGAACCGTTCCAAATTTCGAAGCAAAACAAAGCTTATGTGATAATAAAAGCAATAATTATTTTTATTATTATTGCATATTAGAAATATATGTTATCGTATTTTCTAATTCCGCATGGAATGCTAGGAACATTTGATACATACGCAGGGTGATTCACGATAGATGATAAATACAATACGTTTCGACACAAGATATTGGTATTAGAGAGGCTCAGACAAAAAACAAGACAACATTGTAGCTGGATGTGATTTTTGATGATCACATGTTTCCAACTGATAGCTTGTTGACATCCCCTAAAAATTCGTTTTGTCGTACCTT